CTTGTGCAAAAATCTTGCAAGCCGGCTTATACTGGCCTAATCTATGGAAGGATGTCCACATCGCTGTTACAAATTGCGATCGGTGTCAACGCACTGGCAATATTTCAAGAAGAGATGAGATGCCCCAAAAGGGAATTTTAGAAGTAGAAATCTTCGACGTCTGGGGAATAGATTTCACGGGACCATTCCCATCATCTTTCGGTAATAAGTACATACTCGTAGCTGTTGATTATGTCTCGAAATGGATCGAAGCCATAGCTTCTCCTACAAACGATACACGAGTAGTAATAAAGCTTTTCAAAAATACAATCTTTCCCAGATTTGGTGTGCCTCGACTCGTCATAAGTGACGGTGGCTCGCACTTCATTTCAAAAATATTTGACAAATTACTATCTAAGTATGGAGTGAGACACCGTGTGGCTACACCATATCACCCACAAACAAGTGGACAGGTCGAAGTCTCAAACAGAGAGATTAAACAAATCTTAGAAAAGACTGTCGCCACATCTCGGAAAGATTGGTCATCTAAACTTAATGAAGCTCTATGGGCTTATAGGACCGTTTACAAGACACCCATAGGTACTACACCTTTCAAACTAGTTTATGGAAAATCTTTCCACCTCCCAGTAGAACTAGAACAGAAAGCTTATTGGGCGATCAGAACTCTCAATATAAACTATAATGCTGCAGGAGAAAAGCGAATCCTAGACATTAACGAATTAGAAGAATTAAGGTTAGATGCATATGAAAATGCTAAGATATATAAAGAAAGAACTAAGCGATGGCATGATAAACGCCTATCTAGGAAAGAATTCAGTGTGGGAGACGTTGTACTCCTCTTTAATTCAAGACTTAGGCTCTTTCCTGGAAAACTAAAGTCTAGATGGTCAGGACCCTTTGATATAACTAAAGTATTCCCAAGTGGAGCAATAGAAATTAAGGGTAAGGATAGTGAACCATTCATAGTAAACGGACAACGTCTAAAACACTATTATAAAGTTGAAAATAGAGATTATGCGAATAATCTAAAGCTTTTAGAATTGTCCACTAATTCCCCTGATTAATCTAAACCAAAACATTACGTCAGACTTTTGACAATAAAAACAGCGCTTAGTGGGAGGCAACCCATTTACTTATTTACTTATTTTAACTATTCTTTTCTTTTAGCACATTGTTATTTATTGTTTTTACCATTTGTTTAAATTGTTTTGTCAGTTTTACTTTACATTACTATTGTCGCCATTACATTATGCATTTCATTTTCTTATTTTTATCTTAAATCACTTTTTACAGATTTTCTAAAGTCTTTTCCACTGATTTGTTTCCCCCGTATTTTCACTGACCATGGCTAACCAACCAATTAACTATATGGAAACTAAATTTAGAGGTAGGAACCAAAGAATGAAGTTCGAAGAGTTATCACAGAGGCAAATGGATTTGACCCTGTACCCAGATGATAGGACTATGGAAACCTTAGGTATACATGATAGTGTCATGTACTTGTTCAACCGACTCGGATGGGAGAATGCAATGATCCAACATAAGTTTGCGACTTACCGCGAGCTTACCCTTGAGTTCCTTAGCTCCTTACTTTACCTACCTGAGCGCGGTTTTGGATTTAGGAAAGGATTTATTAGTTTCCGCCTATTTGGAATAGAATACGACTTTAACCATAAAGAACTAGCTGACTTGTTAGGTTTCCCTAGTGGACCATTCGCTTTTACTACCACACAGGTAGAATTGATGGATGTGGAGCTAGATTTCTTTTGGGGAACTCTAACCGGAAACTACCACCCTGAACCAAATGACATGAATAATGATGAGATCCATAATCCTGCTCTCCGTTACTTCCACAAATTCCTTGCCCACACCTTCTTTGGAAAAGAAGAAAACATTACCGGAGTTTCTAAAGATGAAGTATTTATTATGTCATGTTTCACTAATGGACAGTCTGTTAATGGTGTACCTTTCATGATGCAAACCTTCACCCGCATCCAAGAAGAACCTGAATTACCTATAGTAGTAGGATGTCTTGTAACTATGATTGCTGATGCCATAGGACTTAGGTACCAACTGGACAGGTGCACCCGTCTAGGAACAATCCGCCCTATGAATCTTAAATTCTGCTTCAATAGACATATCATAAGGAATTTAGGACGCCCACCTTTTGAGTACCTAATCCGGAACGAAGTAGTAACCCTGTTCATATTGCCCAATCATGCTAGAGTAAGTGTTCACAATAAGGATAACTGGCTTTATGAGTTAAACCCACCTGATTATCTAGCTACTCCTGAAACACCTCAGTCTCACAGGATAACAGATGATATAATGACCGCTGTTGAAACTGACCCTGAGACACCTCCTGCATACCATGACATTGACCCAACTGACAAAGTTCATGAAACCCCTGGAGCGAATCAAGGAGATTATGCTAACTTACAAAACATCATGCACACTCTCAATGCCTACCAAACTGACATTAATCTATTCAAAGAAGACATTAAGAGCATGCGATTGGACATTATAGGATTGACTGACATGGCCTGCGAACAATTCTATCATTTGGACTCCGCCATCGAAGACCTGAAGAAACGCCTTTGAAACGGCTATAAGTGATTTAGTTTAATTTTTTCTCATTATTTTTTCTCATTATTTTCGTTTCTAGTTAAATTTATCTTTCGCAACAATTTCATAACATAATTTCCGTTTTTGTAATTTCATTTTTTTACTTTATGCAATGCACCTTTAATTTCAATTATTTCTCCATTTTTAGCAATCTATATTTTTTTCCTATATACTGTCATACCTGCATTATATCATGTATAAAACCTTTCTTGCAAGTTCGTATACTACTGTGTTGCAAATGATATACAATATGGTGTGTATTTAATATAAGTGTTACTAAATAAAATAAATTATTATTAATTTATGAATAACGTGAGAAAATGTTCTTTTCTGGGAATTATTCAGCAAAACATGCCCTCACGGTCGTCACACCTATCTTACGATCGTGACGTGCTCATTTAGCGTGTCACGACCGTCACGCCCCTGTCACGACCGTGACTACCTCTATTACAGGAATCGTGAGAAACAGAACTGTTTCTCATCGTGTCCCCTCTTCTTCTCCATCCATAACCTACCCAAAACACTACCCATTCATTCCACAACCGCCGTAACCTCTCCACTACCCCCCATTAACCCCCCATTATCCACAAGCGCTCTCTCGTGGTCTTGACCCAACCTAATACCTTTTTCTTACTCTCGTAACGAAAAGGTCTATTTCAATTAAAAAGTATCAGCCAGAATGTTAAGTGATTTATTATTTTCAGCCTATGGTTATATTTACCGGTTAAGTTTGTTATAACTACATACCGCCCTAAGGTGTTTAGCTACTCATCGAGGTTGAATCAGACAGAGAATTAAATAATAACTTACTCATGGCAGAAAAATAAATAGACATTATGATTAAATTAAATTGCAATAAATTGAAAAACCTGATTAAAAAATAATTGAGCAGACTCCTTCTTCCACAGACCGGAAAGCTCGGAGTAGGCGGAAATTAAAAATGAACGAATGCTGAAGGTTGGAAACAAATAAATGTATAACAATTCCCTAATGTTGGAAATTGTTATACGGTTGGTTTGGATACAAATAAAACGAGACAGAAAATAAAATAATGCTGGAATGGAAATGCTGGTTCGTAAGGTAATTCGGCAGAGCTTCCGCAGGAATTTTGGATAAATGAAGTCTGTCCCTGAGTTCACAGAGCTTGTACTATTTATAGAGTCTTTATTGGGCTGGATTCTTGGTCCCTTGTTGCATGGGCCTTGCTGAAGTTGTTGAGGAAATGCTGGAACGTGGCAACAAAAAATGGGAGAAGTCGTCTTCACGTGCTGCCTTGAGGAGAAATAAGAGGAGAAGTGGTCTTCACTGGTGCCTTGACGTAGTCTGAGTCAAAACCAAGTTTTATCCTTGTCACGGGCGTGACAAGGTCTTCACGTTCGTAATTTGAGGATTTTAAGTGCCACGGTCGTGACTGCTTCTTTACGGTCGTGATGGACCAATTTGGGGTGTCACGGTCGTGACACCCTTGTAACTACCGTGGCTGCAACAAATTATGCAGTCTTTTTGCAGGCTTCTGCCTTTCTTCATCTCCTTGTGGTCTCTTTTGTTCCTTTTCTCTTAATTCATGATTCGGCTTCACATAACGATGTACCTGCAAAATAGTAAGAAAAACTCGAGAAATCGAGTGTTAAAACGGTGAATGCGCGATAAAACGTCAATGAAATCTAGCGATATAATCGATGCGTTTTCTCGTCATCAGTGTATATTCTCCCAAATTCATTTAGAGAATTGGTAAAGCATCACTCAACTTAAGAAGCATGGAGGACTTGGTGTGAGAATTTCTAGATTGGAAAAAAAAACAACGCTTGGTAAGTTTGTTTGGGAAATCCAATGATAAATGTTTTGAATATAACCCAAGATGATTCGGATTCTCTTAATGGGAATTCAGACGCACATTTGGTTAGGTGCGATGTGAGTATTAACCGAAGAGGAAGTCGGGATCTGTCAAGGGAGCAACCAAAAACATGCTTCTGATTTTCAATAATTTGTAAAAGTCTATTAATCGAGATAAGAAGCATTTAAGTCTTAAAGTGAAGGATTTGCCGTGGAATAATCTATTCTTTGCAGATTAAGTGCTTCTTTTTCTAAAGTCTAGATGCATGTTTTAAAGTGGTATGCCACGAAGGAAAATTAATCAAGTTTACTTTCTCTCAATTTTCAACATAACTTGGATGAACAATAACAATATTACTTTCAAACAATAATATACTGATAAACAGAAAAATCATATCACCAAAAGCAAACTCAGAAAAATATAAAAGAATTATCAGAAAATTAACACAAAAGAAAAACCAAAAACTAATAATAATAACATCATTATTCAGAAAAATAGAGTTTCAAGTCTTCATAGAGTCTTTCTCCATTTGCATGCTTGTTTACATTTCAACATCACAAGAGTCTCTTTCAAAAGTCTTAGCTTTAGAAAAATTCACCAACAGATTAGAACAAAACACCTTCAAAACCCGATGTTTCGATTTCCACACTCCAACCTTAAACCTTATCTTTGCTCTAATCAACACATCCAATTCAATATCCCCCGAAGTTTTCTCAAGCTTGAGATCCTTCGGCACCGAATCATACAACGCAACAGTTTGAGCGGTTAGTCTCACATGCATCCTCGTAACATTCTTACGCGGTTGAAAAAACGGTTGAATCGCGTTTGTTGCTAGGGTTTGATCCTCGTAACGAACCGAAACCTCAATAGAATCATAGTATATTGACACTTTCGAATTCGGATTGTTTGATCTTATTGTGAAATCAAAGTTTGCATAGAGATGATTCGCATCGGTTAAATTGAAGTTATGGATCGCAGCATCTTCAACACTGTATTGCAAATGCTTTGGCTTTAGAACTAGCCAAATTATGAGAACCGCTATGCCAACAAGAAGTATTAAGAATAAAATTATCATAGCAATGTAACGTAGGATTGAGGTTTTTGGTTTGGGTTTGGTTGCTTGAGGCTGTGATTGTGTGAGAGGTTGTGCCATTTTTTGAAGGGCTAGTGTTATTATGATTGAAGAAGAAAATCAAATGATGTTTATATATAACACTATGTATAACTAAGTTGCACTTTTTTGCTTTGAGAATTTCGTGCATGAAACTCAAGAGATCTATGAGATTCTTGATGCTAATAGATTGTTCTTTACTTGAGATTCAAGTGTCAGTCACAAAAAGTTTGGTAACATACTATTGCAAGTTATTTAGCTGTCGGTATAAAGTGTTCATTTTCTAAATTGAAATGGAAAAACTTGCTATTCATAGGGAGAAGTTAATGATATATTTTGATTTTGGAGTCGGCAAAGACTAGTTTTGGTCCTCATTACCTGTAAAGTGAGAGTATCTAATTTGGATGGGCCTTAGAAAAGTGTTGTTCACAAATTTGCAAAGTTGATGCTTTTCTTGCTTATGTTATGAAGGATGAACCCAAACTAATAAAAGTAAGAATGTTTCTCAATTCTAAAATATAGAGGGTAGATTGAGATACTGTCAAATAAAAATTATTGAATATGATTAAAATACAATCTATTTGATGTGTATAAAGTAAATGATTACAAATTTCACATGAAACATTTTTGAAGATTCAATCGTACTATTTGTTCAAAAAATAATTGAGAGAGGTAATAATCGAAATGGTTGGATTATCTGTATGGCTGTATATTAATTGTGTGATACAAGGTATTTTTATAGTGCTTGATAAGATACTTTGATAATGACAGAGTGAATCGTAACAAACACATAACTACTTAGTTAGGTACGGTTCATTTTAGAATGAGAAGTGGGCGGTGAAATGGTGAGCTAATACTTTATAGCGGGAGACTTGTGCTTCCGGTGGAGGGGGAGTTTATATGCAATTAGAGATGGAAATAGGTTGGATCGAGTTAAACTTTGTCAAACCTGAGTCTACTCTATTAAAAAATCTAAAGTCTAAACCTGCTATGTATTTTATGATAGGCTTATTTTTAGACCTGAGTTTGACATGGTCTGATTGGCTTACTAGTCTATTTAAAAGTCTATTTCATTTGAACTATTGTAAATAAGAAATCCAACTAATGTTAAATAGACTAACAAATTAAAAGATCAATGAGACTGAATGTTTGTTTTTATTGTTTAATTCAAGTTTACCTATTAGCATAAGTTTGGGGATATTATTTGTTGGCGAGAACTTATGAAAAAAACTTATGACAACAACTTATAGCATTGTTTATAATGTGTTTTGAACTTATTTTTATAAGTTCTTCAAGATTATTAAGCTTTATTTTCGTATTTTAATTCAAATTACAAAATACAATATAATAATAATAAATTTATTGAATTTTTAAACTAGGCCTACCTGATTGGCTGAAAAGGCTTTTCTTACGGTATGTGGCCTATCCTCTTTAGCTAAATAGGCTTATAAAAGAGTCTAAGTCTTTTCTATTTAAGAAAAAATCTAGTCTGGTCTGAGCCTATGTAGGTTAGGCTGTAGGCCCTTGTTAGTTGGCCTGACCTATTCCCACCCATACCTGCAATATTAGCTCTCTAACGTCCAAGTCGCAGAGAAAATAGTAAATAATGTATGGGTGAGAGTGAATTTGAATACTTGAAATGACACATTTTTCCCTTTATAAAGGATAGCTATTAAAATTGTCCGTGAGGGATAAGGCGCGTTGTGTGAATAGTCGTTAGATCTGATCACATGGTGGCAAACATGTATGTAGTGCGGAATTTCCTATTCTTAGACGAATGAGGCATTACTTGCTCCTAGCACATTACCACTTGGTGGTGCTCTTGAGCCTTTTGTTAAGGATTTGTGAACGGTGCAAAATAGTTGTCCTCCAAGCCCTTGTCTTTGGTTTACAAGACGAGGGTTTGTCGTATGTGCCATACCCGACTTTTTGGTCTGAGTAAACGAAGAACCTTTACGGGACGTCACTATTCTTGGGAACATGCCCATTAAATTCATTTCTTGTAATCAGTAATGTTTTGTAGAGAGCTTTGAATGTATGTCCCTATGCTAATGAACAATGAGGTTTCCTCTACCTTAGGGTACTCAATTACTTTAATTAATCTTTGATGAAATCTCGACCATTAGTAGTGCACCTCAAGTTTTCCAACATAATGGATGGTACAGTCTCCTATGGACGAGGTACACAGTAAAGGGTTCATAAAGCATATTTTTTCCTCTTTTCCATTTCTAATTAGTGTAAGTTATTCATTGTATTTCTAGCTTCGTCCTTCCTTGTGAGCTCTCTTGTATTGAATTTTAGACTAGGATCATATGAGACATCTCGTTTGTTGGTATTTTAGGCGTATAATCGATCAACATTGTTCTTTTAAGGTAAACTCAACATCTTTCTTCTAGCTTTCTCTTCCTTATCTCCTAGGGTTTTTTGGAGAGTAGGTCCCTAATATCTCTAATGTTCAAATTCCTATTATTGACATTTTTTTATACTTTCCTTTCCTGTGTTGATAGAATTCTTTAGAATGAAAACTCCCGTTACTTTTCTTTATAAAGAAAAGGGGGATAAATCGTGAGTATGCGTGGATTAAAAGACGTTGAACCCTGCCTCTGTATTCTCCTCTGATGGAAGTTTGGACTGAGCTTTCATCGAGGTGGATCTTTGTCTGACTGGGGATTACTTATTCCTGAAGAAGATAAGATGGTGTATAGAAGGATGGATGTGTCATTCCTCTTCATGAATATTTTTTATATTTTATAGGCTTATGTATCCCTTTCTATACATTTGAGGTTTGCGTTCTTAATCTATTTCTAATCTACCTTTTGCAACTGCACTTATTGAGTTGAGCTTATGTTAAAGTCTTCCAACACTAGTATAAATACAAGAACAATGTCCCAACCCTGACGCTCATCCTCCACCTTTACAAAGCTCAACGTACCTCGACTAGTTCTCCAAAGGGCCAGGGCTTGATATCTCTCTGACAATGTGCCAAAATATTTGATGTTTATTGGGATTGCGTGAAGCACTTCAAGTATCGATTCTTCCTGGTTACCCTTCTCAATGAAGGAGTTCATGCTACAATATGCTTAATGAACACTGGATCGCCTTAATAATGTTGAGACATATTCTCCTAGTTATGGCGGCAATGGCACTTCTTGTCAAAATCAAGGTCTTATGTTTACATGATGGACAATTTAACTTAGAAAGACATTTTCCTGAACAGATAGCTGGTGTCCTTCTTCGAAGCTCTAGGTTATGTAACACCTTAATCCCTGACTCAACATGTAATAAAATACCTCAAGTAAAATTTGCATATTATAGTGTCATGTATGCTTCACCATTGCATAAAAACGTCAAATACCAAATATTCATGTAAAAGTAAGCATCAGAAAGAAACGAGTTTGACATAAATTATAAACAACAAACTTCAACATAAAAATAACATAACACAAATAACGGAATACATCCCCTCACCATAGCTACATATCTAAGCGATTCCTCTAAGACCCAATGATAAAAGCTAAAGGGGGCATCGACGCCGTCCTCTAACTCAACGGCTACTCCCGTACCTGATTGCCTGCACTCCCGAGGGTGTTGGGTGGGAATTTTGACGTCAAGTTTTGATTTGAGATATTAAGTGAAAATTAAGTTTTCTTGAGTTTTTGCTGACTTCGACAGGAGCTTGTGAGAAGCTTAGTCGAAGTAATCTCCATGAAGGGGATGCGTGGACAATACTTAGAAATATTTTATAAGTCTCGAAAATCATTTCGATGAAGGTGTTTGAAGCACTCTTATTGTCAGAAGATTTGAATTTCAAAGTATGGATAAAATAAATGCCTTTTATCCTTATTTGTTTCTCAAGATAGACGTGTGGCGAACTATGGCGAAATGAAAGTATGCAGGGTGAAATGTGTCAATTTTTGGAGAGATGTTTGTTGAAGACAGTTATTTCGACTTATTATAAATAGGAGTCTTAGTGTTAGGATTTAAGTGTGTTCATTATTGTATAAATACTAAAAATTCTCTTAAAGTATCCGCGTTAAAGTGAGAAACGAGTGTGTCATTGAGAAATGTACGTTGAAACATCATATTCATCTTAATAGAAATTTACTTTTGTTTATCAATTGTTCTTTCCTGCATTTTACTGCACTTTTACTTTAAAATTCTTTCCTTCATTACATTATCTTTATCAAACCTTTACAAAGTATATTTTTTCCAAAACAATCAAAACAACCTTTCATGGAAATGAATATTATCGAAATATTCATCAATTTTCCAGAAATATATTGAGACAATAACTATGTCCTTAGGATTCACTGGTCGATCCTGCAAGTAAACCAAATTTTTGGAAGACCAGCGGTTGTTTACCAATTTTCACGGAAAACAAATTGGCACGCCCGATGGGACAAGTGCTATTGTGTCAAAATAATTTCTTGTTTTTACAATTTTTGAATTAAGTTCTTCATTTTTATCTCTCCATAGTTTGTTGTATGAGACTTAGGAATGGTAGAATAGCCACAAATAACAAAGAGAGACCAAGGAAAAGATATGTAAGGAGAATGGTGAATCCAACTCCACCAAACAACCAAAATAATGAAGAACCATCCCATTCTTCTTTGACAGGGGGCAATATGGTTCCATCGTCAGTATCTAAAGTTGTACCTTCTACGAAAAATTCGACGCCTATGCAGTCAATTGCCCATAGTGGTCCCATTTTATCCTATGTGGGAACACAGGGTCCACCAGTGACCCCCCCCCCCCCCCCCCCCCCCCTCCAGTGGGAAATAATTCATTTAGGCCTTATGTGCCTGGGTTTTCAATGCCTCCAATAGGACGCGAACAACCTTATGGCATGCCAACATCAGTGATGGCAAGTTTACATAATGAGTCATCAATGTTCTCAGAGCCAGTGGTGAATGTAACTTCGCCATTACAAGGATCTGGTTTAGGTGTCAATAATATGGATCGAGTTAGCCAGCCCTTAGGGACAGGATTTCCTACCCAGATTCCTAATATCACTAACAATTCTGCAGTAGTGATAAGGCAAT